GGAAACGCATATGATGCCCTCACTTGCAGCACAGTGTAATAATCCAGTTGAAGTTTAGGGTAGGATTTGTCCTGACCTAAAGAGTCAGACTGAAATAAGCAGCTTTCATAATATAAAATATTAATAGTACAGCATGATAGTAGAATATTAATAGTATTAATGGTATTTGTAGTATTTACCATATTATTTGCACTATAGTATTAGTGCACAAATAATATACAATTCTTTTACAATTTTATTGTAATTACACAGACAATTCTCCTTGCTTGCCACCACCATCCTCTAAAGAAGTCACAGAAGTTGAATATGAGAAGTAAAGGTAGGTACAAACAAATCTTTCCAACTAGATAAAAGGATGATCTCTATCCAACGAGTGAATCTTCATCTCAACATAAAACTGCACACCTTTTTCACTAACTTTATATTGTCTTGAGGAATAAAAGCTTTCTCTGTCAATGAAATAGCACACAATAATTTCTACAAAAGCAAAAGCAGATCTTAAGGGGTTTTTTAAAAGCTGTAACCATGCATGATGTTTTTCTGATTATTATTTAGTTCAAACCTCATTTACCCCCTGGTTGAATTTTAGGTCATGTTTTTCTTGAGTGGAGAAAATTTGGTTCATAATCTAGCCAGTAGGTCAGAAGTTAGTTGTCATCCCACACTCTACCTCTAGCCAGCACCACCTAGGATGTTCACTACTGTTCTTCTGGCTGCACTATGATTGTAATTCCCAACTCAGACAAATCTAAGGTCAAATGGAAGTCCCTTTGAGAACACTTGCCTGTATGCTCCAAAGGGAAGTCCCAATCAATGCCCCTGTGTGCCATTCTAACCTAGAGTTCATCCACACCTGACCACAAAAAGTTCACTTCAAGATCACATTCCTAAGCCTGGCGTGTTTGCATTGGCAGGATTTCATAAAAACATAGAACCACAATTGTACTATAAATTTGTGGCCTAAATCTACTTCCCCTCCATCCTCCTGACCAGAACCAAATGAATGTTGTTTAATACCCAAAACAGTCTAGACCCACACAACAGGACTTCTTTTGTTCCAGAAACTCAGTAACTTCTTTGTAATACATCCCTACATTACAATGAAGAGAAGGCACACTATCTCCTATGTTACATTCATCGAAAGTGAAAGAACTATCTCCTTGGAGCAGAAGTTTGGGTCTAAACACTGTTTTGTTTTCCCTACACCACTGTTTAAGTTTATCTTAGGTTTTGGAAGCCATTATAATTACACACAGATAATATGCCAGTTTTTCTACCAGTATCTAAAGTTTCCTACCTGAAAAACAGATAAGCTATATTTTCCTTACATTCCTGAGTTAAGGCCCACTATACAACAAGCATCACTGGCTTTCAGTGCCTACAGAAAGTTCTGTGTACTCCATATCTTGGAGGGGAAGGTGGTCGGCACATATAGAATAATTTTTGATGTCTCTGAGTAATGGTCTTTATTAAACTTTTTAATGCTTAGTTCAGTATGCATCACCCTGTACAACATATTTACTTTTATTCACTGGACCTTAGTGTATCTGTCCCATTAAATGCTGTTTTGGTCTTGCTCATTCCACAGTACATGTTTTCACTAGAGAAAATGTATGGAGTTTTCTATTTCTTCATTTTTAGATGCTATTTACCAGTTGCTATTTGGCAATAATGTTAAAAGCACCTAGGGGGGGAAATAACCCTCAGGCTGACAATGTGCCATTGTTTCTCGTCTCATGAGCTAACCCATAATCTTTTTAAATTTCCTCCTCTACTTTGTGTTTTATTTTGAACTCAGCATTTATTTTCAATAGGAGTTATGAGCTTTTTTTCTGGTTTGTCTTTTATCTGCAATTTATAAGATTTTTTTCACTTCCGGAGTTGGTCTACTTTGCCAAAATAAACTACCAAGGATGAGTGGCTTAATATTCTCAAAGCTCTGGAGGCTGGATGTCAGAGCTCAGGATGAAGCATGATCAGGTTCTGGGGAGAGCTGTTTCCAGCTCATAAATGGCCATCTTTTCACTGTTTTCTCGTGAGGCAGTCAGAGACTGACAGCAAGCCTTCTGCATCTCTTCCTATAAAGGTACTAATCTCATCACTAAGGGCCCATCCTCATGACCTCATCTAAATCTAATTATCTCAGAAAGACTCAGTATCAAATCACATTGGCACTTAGGACTTTTTAATATATGTTTTGTAGGAACATACATCATACCATTGTATTCTCCTTTGAGGAACAATTTGTATCTGACACAAAATAAGTCCATGGACAGAGTTTCATTATTAAATAAGTAGAAACTGAACATCTGCAAAGTCTTATGCCCAGGTTAAGTGCTAGATATTTATGGCCAAACACACCCAATTCTTGATATCAAGACTGCCAATATTTTCTGGTTCTACATGTAAATACAGAGTAACCCCTTATTTGCTGGGGTTACATTTCCAGACCCTCAGTGGACAGCTAGAACTTCAGATAGCCCCAAACCCTATATATATAGTATGTCTTTCCTATACATACATATCTATGAAAAGTGTAATTCATAGCCAGCACCACCTAGGTGCTGATAGTACAAGACTGATAAAAGTAACTAATAATAAAATAGAACAATTATAACATACTAAATTGCCTATCCCACAGTCTTGTCTTTGGGGCCATTATTTAAATACGGGTGACTTGAACATAAACACTGTAATACTGCAGTAGTTGACGTAACACAGATGGCGAATAAGTAATTGATGGCAAGTAGTGTACAAAGTGTAGATGTGCCAGTCACTTGCTGCTGGAAGGAGCAGGACAAGGACATTTCATCCTGTGATTGGGAACAGTATACAATTTTACACTTATCTCTGGAATTTTCCACTTAGTGTCTTCAGACCTATTCCCCATTGTGTTGGCTCACTGTGGCAGTTATGGAAATGGGCCATCCAGACCTCCCCTCCAGCAGGTACAGCTAATTGACAGCCAGCCCCCAGCTGCCACAGCTGCAGATTCACTGGATCATTGGTGCTGAGGCTGTGGACTTGCCGTGCTGCTGACAACTGGCACCTAGAACAGAGGTACTGGAGCTGGGCCTTTTTCTGCCCCAGAGGAAAACCTCCATAGCCGTGTTCGGGGAAGCCCTGTGTGCTCAGCCAAGGCTTTCTCAGAACAGCACTGTCATCTAGAATTCTTCCTCCTCAACTCCCTTCCTCCCACTCTCCCTCACAGATGTCAGACCACAGCTGGCCTGAAGATTCTCTCTGCCTTCTATTGTCCTGTCCTCAAAGGATTCAGAAGAACCTACTCACAAAGTAACTTCACACGAAGGAAGAAAAACTGTGTTTTATTCTGAAGTAATGTCTATTCATCTAACAAGGGACAAATACTCATCTGAGATAAGCAACTAAAACAAAAGAATATCAGATCATTTCTCTGGTGTGAGATACCAAATGTGTAAATAAGAACCAAAGTATATGAAAGGTACTGTGAAATAGAAATTGTTCAAAAGAAAGGGGAATTAGGGAGGAGGGAGGGGGAAAAGAAGGAAGGGAAAAGAAAAACAAGAATAGATGTGAAATAAATAGGACACATGTTTAAATACCATATTTTTTCTGGTGGGACAAACTGAAAGGGTAAATAAAGACCAAAATGTATAACAGATACTGGGAAATAGGAAGAAAATATTCAAATGGAAAGGGGAACAAGGGATGGGGAGAGGGGGAAAGGAAGAAAGGGAAAAGGAAAAAAAAGAATAGAAGGAAGAAAATGGAAACAAAGCTTTTGTAAATAAGGAGGGGAAGAGAGGTTGAAGGGAGGAAAGGGGATTGGGGAAAAAAGAAGAATCAAGAAGTATCATGTACAGGTACAACTTTCTCTAATGAATGTGAGATATATATATATATAGATATATATAGATATATAGATAGATATATATATAAAGAGAGAGAGACAGAGAGAGAGTGTACCAATAAAATTAATCCAAAAAAGCTGACAGAAGGAAAAAAAAATTTCATAAATTCAAACCATAACAAAAAGAAAATTATGCCCACCTCACTTTAATATAACTGAACATTCAGCTATTCAGCATTTTCCATGTCCCAGCAAGGTACTAGGAAAGCTACAAATACAAGATGGGGCTCCTGCTTTCAAGGAGGCTATAGTCTATGCTCTATGTTTTACCCATAATTCTTACACCATTCATTTCGAACAATTTCCTTAAGTTTTTTATACAGACATTCTGCAAGGTGGACAGCAAAACAGAATTACTTCCTGTAAATCTTTTTCTTTCTTTCTTTTTCATTTGTCTGTTTGTTTTGTGGTACTGAGGATCAAATCCAGGGGCACTCTACCACATGCATATGTAGCCCTTTTTTATTTCCTGGTTTGAGACAGGGTCTTGCTAAGTTGCTGAGGTGAGACTCAAACTGTGGTCCTCATCCCTCAGCCTTCCAGGGTGCTGGGATTACAGGCATGCACCACACCTGGGGGTTCATCTGTATACGATCCTAAAGCAATGTACTGCTCAGTCTTGCTGTGCTTGAAATTTATAAAAATGAAGTTGTACTCCACACATTTTCTTGCAACTTCTTTCAATCAACATTATGGTTGTAAGATGAATCCATGGTGCATTGTTATAGGCTGTTCTTCATAATTGCTTTGCTGCTGAATGGTAATCTACTAAATTAAAATTCTACACTTTCTTTAACCCAGTCTATTACTAAAGGATATCTGTATTGTTTCTGATATTTTGTTTCTGTGAATACAATATTTCTGCTAGGAACTGCCCCTAACATGGACCTTGTAATTACATAAAAATTTTTCAAAGGTATATACTTAAGAGCAGAGTTTCTCCATCAGAGGATATACTCAACTTTATTATTTTTCAAAAGTGCTTATATATACCTGTTTTCCTATGAGCAGTAAAGACAATCCCTATTGTTCCACATGCTCGCCAACACTTGGTTCTTCACTTTTGTTTTAGGACATTTGATACTACAAAAATATATACATTGCTTACCGTGTAAATGCCAATTCTACAAACAGCAAATGGGATCTGGATACATTCAGACATTCTCTATAAGATTAAAATGAGAATAAGAGATTACAACTAAATGTTTGTACCAAAGAATTGGCTTCATTCCACTTGTTCTTGTTTCACTCTTTAAAGAAAATCCGCTATAGTCTGACATGAATGAGCAGGTGGTTGAACTTTTTCTTATCTGCTTTTTCTAGGCTATCTCAAATATAACAGGGATATGAAGGTATGGGACATACCAATTTATCATGGGACTGTAACTCAGAAACTTCATTCTCCACTATAACAGTGTAATTTAAGGAATGGAACATAATATTTGATTTTATTTCCCTGAAGTCTTATTCAAATATCTAATTTTTAATGATAAAGTCTTTGTTATAAATTTATAGGTGCTTAATTTTATAGTTTAGTTCTTATCAGCTAATATCTACACTTCTTATAGTGGTTAAAAAGGAATCCTCTGTAAAAGAAAAATGCTCATAGTAATTTGCAGAAAGCTCTGAATGGACTAAACTTAGGGACTATTGAGGTTCTCAGTCTTAGGAAGGATATCAATGGCAGCACTCAACTGAGAATTCATAACTTCTCACTCCCACATATAGGTAGATTCCTGAAACTCATGCCGACTCACAAAACTTTTCATACTAAATAAACGTGAATATGCATTTCTTTTATTTAACTGAAAGAATATCTTTAGCATATTAAGTTGGCATATAATCAAAATAACCCTAACTTTATACAATTTAACACTGTTATTATGGTTTACTGATGTTAAGTAAAGATTTCTCTGTAAATAAATCTCAGTATTCATGGTTTTATCCATTATACCAAGGAAACTGAGAAACAGGATCCCCAGATTTCTATGGCAGCCAAATGGTTTCAAAAGATGTATTTCTTTTGAACACCAACAAGTCATATAGACTGACTCTGTCAAAGATTCCTGACTCTTCAGAGAGTATGTGTACAGCACTAAATACAGTTAAAAGAGATTAGTAAAGAAAATACTGGAAAGACAGAGGCTATCTTCATAGATACTGAAAATAAAAATTAATGGCAATGGATAATCAAACTCAAAAGATAAACTGCTCAGTGTAGACTCAATCCAAACTTGTAAGAAATTCCAGACATTCAGTGCTAATGTTCAAAACAACAGAAAATTTAATATTAGGAAAGCATTTATATTAAGGTCTCATAATTATTATTGTAATACCACTAAGCTTTTTTATTTTTAATGAAATGTATTATTGGAAATACCTAGGGCAATGCCATGGCATTCTCGAAGATGGGCATTGGAAATGTTCGTGACTTTACCCAACCTCCACTCTTCTCATTTATCTTCAGAAATTACCCCCCAATTATACCTTTGGTAACATAATAGTGAATTAATGAACAATCCTCTCAGTAAACTAGAGAAGTTATTTTCCCCAAATGAAAAATAGCAAGCTTATTTTGTGCCACTGGAATAAAAGATGCCCAGCCTTCCTTGGGACTAGTGCAACCAAGTTCCCTGAAACAAGATGTAAGTGAAGGATGCTTCAAGGGAGATGACTGTAAGAAGGGCCCGTTTGCTCTTCCTTGCTACTTTCGCATTCTGTAGCTGAGACTTAATGTAGCTCCAGCAATGATCCTGGGTTGTGAGGGCACTTGGAGAACAGCGGACACATGAAATGGAGTACGAGCATGAGCAAGTCTGGAGATGCCCATGATACAGCAGCTGATGCTCCCTCCTCTGCAGACCTTACATGAGACAGAAGGAAACCTCAAGGCAGGCACGGAAGCACATACCTGTAACCCCAGCACTCTGGAAGACTGAGGCAGCAGGATCACATGTTTGCACTCACCCTGGCAACTTACAGACTTAGCAAAACCTTGTGTCCAAATGAAAAATTAAAAAACAGCTGGGGCTGCAGCTCCGTGCAAAGGCCCTAAATTCAATCCTCAGTATTGAAAGCATTTTTTAAAAGAGGGAGAAACCTCTAACTTGTTTAAAGACTGTTATGTGTCCCCCTCAGCCTAATCCAATCACAGCTGGAACAGAGCAACATTTGTTTAAAAGATAAATGTTCCCAGGAACACGAGAAAGAGTTCTAGCATTGATCATTACAGAGAAACTCTTTTAAAAGTTTTTTCTGTTAGCAAAGAAGAAATATTTATTCTTTAGTTACTAAAAATCCTACCTCTGTTTCTTCCTTTTCTCATCTCCCAAATGTACAAGTACTGTTATTGGAATTGCCAAAATTACTACCCTGAAAACCCGCAACTTATTTTCTGTAACTTTTTTTTCTGAATAGCCTTGTTACCTCATTCTCTTCTCTAACCTCTAATCCTTACAAATACTGCCTTATCCTCGAACATACTACCTCAGCCCAACAAGCAGGTCTATAACTCAAACTCCAAATTCACTAACACTGGCATTCTCAGGATGGCCTCCTCCCTCTAATTAGTGAGAGGTGAATAGAAAGAGATTTAAAAGCATAACCAAACCTCCTTTGATCATGGTTTTAACAAAATCAGCAACAAACTGAAGATGATTATACTTCATAACCTTTTCCTGTATAGATGCTCTATTTGCAAGGACGTATTTTAGCTATAAACCCAGGGGATATGTCATAGCTTGTTGAGTGTAGACTCAATCCAAACTTGTAAGAAATTCCAGACATTCAGTGCTAATGTTCAAAACAACAGAAAATTTAATATTAGGAAAGCATTTATATTAAGGTCTCATCTCATCAATAACAAGCACTTATTTTCCTAGTAAAGACCGAATCTCTACCCTTGGTAAACTGTGACCCAGGAGCGCCTAAGTCAGCATTCATAAATCCCCATCTAGATTTGCCCAAGGAAAAACTAAAGAACATTACTTCCAAAACAATCACATCTTCTTTGCCAAAATATTAACAAGATGGACCCATTTAAGAAGTGTGTTAGTACAGACGAAAAAAGAAAAAGGACACTCAACTCACAATTAATGTGATTACTTACAGTTTACTGTTGTTTTCCCTAAGAAATTTCAAAGGTAAGCATGAAAATAGAAAAAAAAAACACAAAACAAAATTTCAACAAGAGGATAGAAAGTAGGTTATTTGCTATGTAATGCAAAAAACAAATGATTTTGAAGTATAATTTCAGTTCCACAGAGTGAAAAAACTACAATCTACTTTGAAAAGAATTATTTTTTAAATACATGCTCTATCCATAGTTCCAATTTTGATGCACTATGTAACCCTTCATTCTGATATTAAAAAAAAGATAATGGTTACCTGCTCTTATTTTCTCCTCTATCATTTGCTTATGATGATAATAAAAAGTTACTATGCCAAGCTCACTTTCCAAGAGTCCTGAGAATAACAGAGAAAACTGGTCAGACAAGAAAGGGGATGGGAGAGAAAGAAAACACCTTTGAATGAGGCCTCCAGCCCTGACCATCTACTTCCAAATATATCCGTGAACTAAGATCAGGCATTTTCTCTCAAGAGCATCCCTGGACAAATGGACTGGGGGCAGAGATGCAGGACTGAATGGACGGTGACACAGGAAGATCCAAGACCCACTTCCAGGTGCGTGGGCGCTCCAAAGTGCTGCGTGGGTGGCATCCTCTGTCATATCTGTCACCATGCTGCACTCACTCCTCCAGACTGGAGAAAAGTACTTGGGAATGCCACCTACTTCAGAACTGGTACGTTAGTGCTGTCACCACAAGCATTAACAGTGAATTATTTAACACTCTGTTAGCATGCTCAGTAGCTAGTTCCCCCCAAATGGGAAACAAGTAACTTTTAAAAAAAACTCATTGCAAAATGAGATTTTGTTTATAACATGTGGAAACTTTTATTCTTCCACATTTATTTTTAATTTCAGAGTAGGAAAAAGGATGGTAGTAACCAATGTTAAGAGAGTAACATAAATGTTTGGTAGTAACCAAACATTTGCACCCACGGTCAGCATTGGCCTCTGACACATTCTAAAGTGTCTTTCACTATAACAAGGCCACCATCATCCCAAGAGCATCCATACTTCCCAAGCAATCTACAACTGGAGCCAGGAATTCCAAAAGGAATCACTGTCCTCACCTGTTAAAAAAAAAATAATAATAATAATCTTAACACAGCAGATCTCTGTGAAATTCACTTACAAAGATTTGAACAGCCTTCTATCAGCAAAAGCATCAGAGTTTTAGTCATCAGAGAAAATAACTAAATGAATACATGAATAGTATCAGAATTTGTAGATTTCATATCAGCAAGATTTTAGCCAGTCTTTAGCAAGATGTCCGTAAAAATCACTAGTACTCCTCAAAGAAAATCAGTTTTGGGAAAATTCTGATTAAAAAGCATGCAGAGAAGCCAGGTGCGGGGGCATACACCTATGATCTCAGCACTCTGCGGAGGCTGATGCAGGCGTATGGCAAATGTAAACTCAGCCTGGGCAATTTAGCTATTTAGCAAGACCTTGACTCAAAATTTTAAAAGAATAATAATAATAATTTAAAAAGAGCTGGAGATGTAGTTCAGTGTAAAGGCCTTTGTTTCAACACCCAGTTTAAAAAAAAAAAAAAAAGTATAGAGAGGAAGGGGAAGACATTCCCTTCTAATTCAGCAGAGTAAAATAATGAGTAATATCTTAGAGGATTTATTTCTTTACTTGCTGTTGTGGTTTACATTTAGTTGTCCCCACCAAAGCCTCATGCACTCAGAGGCAGGGCTTTGGGGAGGTAGCTGATGATGGGGAAGCTATACTCACCAGTAGATTTGTCCACTGATGAGCTTACAGCTAACTGTGCTGTCAGGACGTAGGGCCCAGTCAGAAGTGGACAGTCACAGAGGTGTGGCCTGGAAGGGTGTGTCTCCTTCCCTGGCTCCTCCTGCTCTGCTTCCAGCCACCATAACCTGAGCAGGTTTTCCTCCACCGTGCCCTTAGACCTAGGTCAGCGGTGACACACCTATGGCGCCCATGCCACAGCTGGCTATTTGTTACCACTGAAAGCTCTAAAAGGTTTGCCATCACTGGTCTAGGCCATGCCATCCTTCCTTGGAGCCAGC